AAAGAGTGTGAGGAAGAAGGAGCGGCAGAGATGAAGTCCTATGAACTGACTGCAACCACTTGGAGAAAGAAGGTAGAACTGGGAGCCAAGTTGAGTGTGGAAAGGAGGAGCCCTATTCTGATTATCTGAGAAAGAATTACATTAACTTCCTTAAGTCTGTTTTGCTCATAATGGTAATTGGTGAGTGAACTGCCTGTCCTCATCTCACCCACACAAGCTTTGCATCCTATATACTCTCCTCTTCCTGTTGAGGAGGGGGTGTGACAGAGCAGCTCAGTGGGCACCTAGTGGCTAGCCAAGGTCAACCCACCACTGTCCTTTTTGATGCCCAGTGTGGGGTGAGAGGAATTGGAGATAAGGACAGTAACTGGGAGAGGTAGCGGACAACATGTGGGCTGAATGTTGCTGGACAGTTGAGTAAGTGCGGGGGATTTTTGTTTTTGTAATTGTGGTGAAAGGATGGGAGGTTGAGTGTGTGTAAATTGTCTGCCTTTGTCAGTGTTGTAATGATGCTATTTTGATTTTTGCTGATAGAAATGAAGTTTGTGAAGATTGTGTGATGAATGTATAATTTGATAATTCTTAAATATGTGACTCTTCTGCAGAGTCAAGGGGTGGAAAAGGCACCTTGGATGTTAAGAGACTGATATCAAATTGCATATTTTAGTGGAGTTTGTGGCAGAACATTTTAGTAAGCATAAAGAGGGTATGTGACCATTGATAAACAAAACAAATAAAACCAAACTCTCTATGTTTTCCAAATGAATTGTAATAGTACAAAAAAATTGGGACATCTGTATTTTTCCATTAAGAGCTCAGGACAGGAAATATTTATGCTCAGTGCTGAGTTTCACATATAGCTTGGGTTTTTTTGTTTGTTACTTTTTGTTTTTTCCTTTATAAAGAAACCCCCAAAACCTGATGCTATAATTTTTCAGTAAACTTGCTCTATATTCAGAATAAAGTTTGGTTTTGGTAGGAAGCTATGTTTGGGTTTGGTGTTTTTTTTTTTTTTTTTTTTTTTTATAGGTAAGAGATTGAATTATTTCCTTGAGTGCAAATGTAAAATATGATCTTAACCATAAAGCTGACAATGATGCCTCTGCTAGCTCTTGAGGAGGCTGCTTCCACATAAAATGTACTTCAAAAGACTTTGTTATAAAAATATTTGCTTTTCTCCTGGAAATGGCAGTTTTCTTCTATCATTGCTCAGTTTTCCTGCAAATACCTGTTTTATAAGAATCTAGAGCTCCAGGAAAAGTTATTACTTTATGCAGCAGGAAGCAATACTTTGTGTTGAAGCCTGCAAGAGTGACTAATAGGAATTATGATTAATATCTTCCTGAGAAAATTACTGCTATAAATGGAATCTGGCTGGTGTTTCTGGAACTAACCAAAATAGTCTGGAGTAGCTAATGGCTACTACACCTGAAAGACTGATCAACAATTTTCTTGAAAAACTAGCAAGATTTTTATAGCAGGGATTGTTGTCTTGCTTAAAGTTCTTATTGTGCCTTAGACAACAGTATTTTAGCCCATGGTTAGCACACCAAGTCACTGTTGTTGTAGCACGTGAGTTTTCTGAAGGTCATCTTTTGGCAGCCAGGAGCTTATGTTATTGTCTTACTTTTTTTTCTCCTTCCTTTGTGTATATAATCAGTCAAGATGATGCCAAATTTCTCACTAAGAGAAATTTACTGTGACACATATGACATTTTATAAAAATCTATGATGTGGTGATGTAATGACTGAAGAGGTTCAGAATAAGTCTTGAGGAAATTAAGTGGTACTGAAATAGGCAAATTCTATAAAGCCAAGGAACAACCGTTTCTGTAATTGCTATTTCTAGCTATTGATTATAACTTATAGTAACTGACTGACATCTGTTGCTATGGTTTCTTGAAAGCTACATACACTAATTGATATAATCAGAGAAATAAAATTTGATCTTTTCAAGAATGTGTTTAAAAGCAGTTGACTGATGAGATAAATGCAGTTCATTGCTTACTTATCCTGTCCTTCTGAACAAAGGCTATTTTATATTTCTGTATTTTGGTAAATAAGAAAGCATACAGTTATTAAAATCTACTACTGTGTATTAAACACTAAATTTCTCTGTGGAACTCCTAGTCCTTTTAAAGAAGAATAGAGCAAACTTACAATTCTTGCAGTCCCATGGTGGCTATGGAGTTCTACATCTCTACTGCTGACTGAAGTATTGAACACTTCCAGATGTGGATTATTATTTTCTTTAAGGAATCCTTTATTCTTATGGAAAATTGTAAGGAATTAATTCAGCCTGTTCCAAACAGGAGATTGTGCCAAGTACCCCTGTTGTCAAATTTTTATGGAAATCTCACTTTTAACCAACTGCTTTAGCAGATTTAGAGGAGTTTGATTTCACCAGAATGTGTTTTTGTACCCCATAGCACCCAAATTATTTGTGAGAAAGTATGTTAATTTCAGCTGCATGATTTCCTCACATGTGTGACTTGCTCATTAGTGTACACCTCCACCTAGCAGTGATCAAAGCTCTGTTAAATGCTTAGGGTGAGGAAGAAACTTTCCCGTGGGCAGGTTCCCCATAAAATACTTATTGCAAAAGGCAAGGATAGGATTTTCACACCTTGTGCTTCTGGAGGTGAGGTGTTGGTCTGACTTGTTGACCTTTTCTGTTGTACGTTTCTCTTGATTTTATTTACTTTCAGCCAAAGTTGCATTCCATAAATCATGGCACTGCGTATTGTGGCAGAGATACTGTAAAGGTCTTACTAGTTCTTCTGGATGAAGAAGCTATCAGTCCTCCTACCCAGAACAAAGCAGAACTGTTATATAATGATGAAAGCTTAAATTTGTTTGGAGTCACCTCTATTTTGACACTCTTCAGGTGAGTCCTTGAAGGTTTTTTTGTGTTGTTTGTTTTTAAAGATTTTGTACTGAGTGGCTACCAAAGTATTGATGCTAGTTACACAACGCAAATGAGCAACATGCAGTCTCTTCTGAGGTTAGATGTAAAGGCTCCCCAGGGAGGTTGTGGAGTCTCCTTCCTTGGAGACTTTTAAGACCTGTCTGGATGCGTTCCTGTGTGACCTGCCCTAGACTAGATGGTCCTGCTCTGGCAGGGGGGCTGGATTCGATCTCCAGAGGTCCCTTCCAACCCCTGACATTCTGTGATTCTGTGAAGGGAAAAATATTCTTAGAACAGTGTCAAGTTCTCAAAAGTATTCTACGTTCTTGTTTGTGTTTTCAGTATCTTCAAGATACTTTAGTAAAATAGACTTTTTGAGTACATATGTTTCTGGGTTGCAGAAAACATCTGAAGGAATATTCTTTGCAACAAACTTTCAAAATATCTCTAGAGTTTGAACTCCTAAATTCAAATACTGTCTGTTCAGTAGGTAACTAGATTACTATTCCATTTGAAAATGCCTCTTTTGTCTAGGTATGACACGAGATTTTTGGATTCTACCCTGTTTTTCTCCTACATATTAATTATTTTATGGAGACAGTTTTAAATAGTTCTTCATATCTTTATCCACCAATCAAGATAATATTGCACAAAGGATGTTGAAACAAATTCATATGCTTGAAGATTTATTAGCAGAGTCTATAGCTGATAGCATACATTGACTATAATGGTGAAAGCTGCTTTGAGGGAAGAATAAAATCAAAAGAGAGAGAGAAGAGGAAAGAGAAAATTGTCTCCCTGGTGATATCTAGGAAGTAATGCAGCCAGGGTTCCCAGACAAGCATCCTCTGAGGTACAGTGATTGTTCCCCAACAATGCTTTTCCCAGGCTAACTATATTGTCTTCATAAGGACCTACTCAAACCTCTTATTGGTGTTCCCTGCTTTTCATGCCTTTAGTGTTGATTGGAGCATTTGTTCATCAGGGCAGGGGCTGTGTACATACAGTTGCTTATTAATCTGTGTGTGAACAGCTGGCTTCCCTGACATAAGAGCTACAATTGAAAGGGTAGGAAAAGTGAGGAAAAAGGGGATGTTTCTTATGCTGGTGGCAGTTGGTTCCCATGAGAGCCCATCATAATATTATCACAGTGTGCAGGTGAACGGCTGTGAGGACAACAAGGAAAAGTGATAGGTCCTCAATTGGAAGATGGAGGATCCTAAGAGTTGAAGAATTTAATGGTTCCATTTGATTTGTTGTTTGACCTCTTTTGTGAAACCAAAGGAACAAGCACATTCTAATAAAACCTTAAAATATTTGTTGCAATAATAAGAATTCTAAATAAACCTGTAATATTTTTTAACATAAAAAGCAGCTTGTAACAACATATTTTGTTTATTTCACTTCTTAAATACCTGTGGATAGCTGTAGCTATTAATTTCTATTTCAATATGAAAAAGCTTAAAATAACCCTGATTTCAGTCTTTGTTTCTCTATTACTTCAGATTCAGAAGAATTAATCCCTATTACTTCTAAAATTGTTTCATTCATTTAATAAACCCCACCACGGCTGTATTCTTATCAGAATGAAAAAGTGCTTAATCAAATTTTGGTTAATGCACTATGTGAATGGAATCAAGGCCCACCTGAATTCTTCTGAATTAAACACTGCTATTATTCATAGCTAGCAGTCTTGGGGTTTTTTTTGAGTAACTTTAATTTCAAATGGGTTTTAAACCTGTTCTTTCTGACTGAGAATGCCCAATGAGTGCTTTGGTTTCACTTACCTCAGTTGTTTTTTTCATGCAAATTATTTTTGTTTCTTCCCTAAAAGGCTAAGATGTTTGTCTGATGTAAAATCTGCTCAGTGCAGGTGTAAGCAGCTACTGCTGTCCTGGAATTTATATTGTAAGTTAGGCAATTCTTGTATATTCCTTAGTTAATTCTTAGTGGTCAATTTGTTTTACATTTTATTTTCTAGTGTATAATTCTTTAAATATTTTCTGTGCACTTCCATTTAAAAATAGGTTTAGAAGAAATTTATTCTCAGTATTGAATTTATGTTCCTAAATAATTGTTTTAGGAATAAAAAACTTGGCAAAAACTGAACTGAAACTTGCAATCAACACCTGTTCTCAAAGCTGCGTTCTGCATTTCTCTAGCAGCGTTACTGTGAGGCTCCAATTGTTCTGTGAATGCTGAACACTTGAACACTACCGAGGATAGGTGTTAGCATGTCACTCTGGTGTGTCATCTATATAGTACAGCACTTTTTTATTAATGTGTATATCTCAGATAGAGTGTTTGCAGGTTTTTTTGCCAATCTGTTGTTAATAGTAAATCTGGAACAGTTTACAGGATAAATGGCATTACTGTTTGGCAGGAAACATCACTGCAGTTTTCAGATTCTGTTTGCTAAGCTGATCAGATCTGTATGCAATTGTTGGTCACCATATATGGTAGTTAATGTTTTATGGCTTTCTGATCACATGGTAGTTGTTTGGTTTTTTCACAATGCTGTTTATTATTTCTAGAGATTTCATTACTGAAGAATCCCAAATATGTTTAAAGTTTGACTATTTTTGTCTGGATTTTGGTCAGTTTGAGAGACCACTGTTAGTTTTCAGGTCAAGGCAGGTTAAATTTCAAGAGTTTTTCTTACTCTATTACTCTTCTTCTAATAAAATTCTAGATCAATTGGGTAGATTAATCTCTTTGCACTGAAACCCTGCAAAAAAATGTACTGCTGAGATGCAGTTTTATTAGACTTTTTATTTTCTTTAATCTTCTCATTGAGATTTGTGAATTGCATGTGTATTTGGGAACTGAAAATATAAGCACTGACAATACTTCCCCAGTGTTTTAGAACATCCTAACCAAGCTAACGTTTTTCTTACTTAATCTGTCCTTTAGTATGGCCATCAAATATTTTTCCTTCTGTAAGCATCTCCTTTCAATCTTTTGGAAAATTTTTTTTTTTTTTTTTAGGTATGCATTGTAGAAATTAAAATAAAAATATTTTGTTGTTTTTTGATGTATTTTGAAGTTACCTGTAAGGCAGAAGTGTGCTACTTTTCCCATAGTTTTTTTATTTTTTTTTTAAACAAACAAAAATGTAGTGACAATATTGAAATCAAAGTAAGGTGACTCTGATATAATTAATTGTATTTATGTTTTAGAGGTAGATTTTGCATGACCATGGATTAAGCTTTTTCATAATTTTTTGCAATAAAAGTTTGGAGGGTTTTATTCCGATTTTGTAGGTTCAAAAGGTATTCAGAGTTTGGGGCAACTTTTTGTTAGCTGCTGGTTTCTGTGTCATTCCCATCATCTTTCTATCCTATTAAGTTGAAAGACAGTCATTACTTCTTGCTCATCTCTTTTCTTGCTTTTTCATACTGCCTTCTGTTTAAGGAATACCCATGTTGATCTGGTGTACAAAACAATGACTCTCCTGAAAACCCATTTCTGTGAACATGGAAAAGGAAAATAATCTACCTGTGCATTGGAGAAGCAGTGATGGTTTAACTAGTTGTTTATCCTGAGTTATTATCAGTTTCTGGAAAAGCGGGATATTGAGAATTTTGTTATTAACAAGTTACAAAGAGGACTCATGGACCAAAACAGCAGCACAGAGAGGAGCATGCTGAAGCTACATATTTTGGCAATTCAAAAAGAAAAACATTGCAAGGTCCTGCAGAAATTTTGTGGCACAGACAAAGAGAAATAAATAAAATAAGGAACGAGCTAAATAATAAATTTTATTTACTGAATAACTGAATAAAATGGGCTAAATAAATAAAAGGAGTTTTTTGAAAAAGCAGATCTCATATACATGCTGGCCTGCCATGAGGATAAACAGAGAAGTAATTATTTACAGATGCACAGATTAGTTCTTATTTCAAGGCTTTAAAATTCCCTCTTGGATGCACAACTAATATTTTGCATTATATGCAGCAAAATTTTTCATTTATCTATGTAACTGTTCACATACTGAAATATAGGAGGGTAGAAGCATTTTGTGTATTTCTATTGAAAAGTCTGTAAATATGAGGAAAATTATTCTGGATTTCAACCAGATGCTGTTCAAGGCAGTCTAAGTAGAATGGTGACTTGGTAACTCATCGACCCCATATTACAAACAATAATACGGTGACTGCAGAACTACAGTATTGTGAACCTATTGTAAGAAGATACCAGAAACTGCAACTGTAGGTTTGGTTTCATTATGCTGTCTTCAGTTGCCACAGTACATGTGGATACTTGGGAAGGGAGAAAACAAAGTAAGGCTTGGTGAGTGAAGATACTTGTCTTCCCGTTTCTGAGGAACTTAGTATGGGAACTATTGTTCTTTAGTAGTTTCCTTTACATATTCTAAATACACCTTATCTCTTTTTAATATAGATCTCCATCACAATCCAATGGAACTTCTCCAAAACCTCTTAGAAAACGCATTCAGAACTCTATGGATGAGAAAAAATATAAGGTACTGTGTAGGAATTGCTATGTAACTATAGATGCACTGAAATAATAAAGCTAAAATGAAAATGTTTTAAAATTCTCAAATACTTGCCTGAAATGTATCCTGTGGCAAAAGAAATGTAACTGTGATTAACTTGTGGTAATTGGCCCAACTGAAACAGCATTGTAATAGGGAGGGAAATAATCTCCTTCTCTGGAGACTTTCAAAACCTCCCTGGGTACATTCCTGTGCAACCTGATCTAGGTGAACCTGCTTTAGCAGGGGGCTTGGACTAGGTGATCTCCAGAGGTCCCTTCTAACCCCTACCATTCTGTGATCTAACACTCCAGGAGAGAAAGGCTTTAAAATTATAAATATTTTCTAGTGATGATCTATTAATGGAGATGCCCTGAGTTAAACTAGATCTCTTCATTTAACCATCTGTGTATTTCAGGAGTATAGAAATTAAACTGAAGCTAGGTGGAAACAGAAAAAAACTGAACACAGGCAAATGATTTCTGTTCTGATCATATAAGCATTCTTAAAGTGCAATAATGACTTTTCATTGCTTTTTTTTGAGTCAGTTCTTTTTATTTGTAACATTGAGGACATTATATAGCATTGCCTTGTGAACAATAAAATAAAGATGCTAGCCTTTGGTATTTTGTAGGTAAACTGGAACACTATAAGAGTATGATGCTTATTGTGAGGTGCACTATTTGAAAGAACAATTTCAGTGTTTCTGGAAATTGCAGTCTTTCAGTATGCTGCATTTTGCACAGTCTTTTTTTCTTCAGAATTGTCAAACTTGAATGGGACTGTGGAAAGAGGCAGAGCTTGTATCTTCTGCAGCATTTCAACAAAGAGCTAAATAAAAGTAGTGACTTAATATTTTTTGTAAGCTTTGTCCTTGCTACAGGTAAAAGCACAAATGTAATTAGTACATGAGGAACTAAACAGAGGTGGTTTAAGCCATCAAAATTAGTTCTAGAACAGCACAATGGAAAACATCCTTCTGCCACTGGACATGAGAGGATTTTTAGCATATTACATGTCTGAGAAGTAGAAAGTCTTTAAAAGGAAGTAAAATGAAAAACACTGTCAGTATTTCCAGAATGTGTTTTAAATATACTTTGACTTCAATCTGAGTGCTTTTTTTGGAATAGGGGTCAGGTGGATGATGGACGTTTTGGATTCATGCACTAATTATGGTGAAATTTAGCTTAAAAATCATAGGCAAATTATGAAAGATTGAAGCTGATAAAGGATGCTCTTTATATTAATTTTACAATAAATAGTGTGTTTAAATTGCAGCTTAACTCATCAAATAGCAAAAATGTGATATACTGTTTGCATAATATGTTGAAATGGATAGTTTTCTTATCTAAATGGGGGTTTTGTAATAGGATTCATGAACAGCTGTGTTGAGTATCAAAGTACAAAAATCATTATCTAAAAGTAATTGCCTGTCAGATTTGAGACCTTTACTGGAAACTTAAAAGGTTTTTGACAGAAAATACCAAAAATGAGTCTTGAGACTCATTTATGTGATGAAACTTGTAACATTTTTGGAAATACTTCTCTGCTTATCACAAATACAGATTAGCTACCAAAATTTGTGTGCAAATAGCAGTTCTTTCAGAGGTTTATGAAGAATTGAATGTTATACTTCATTGCGTGAAAGGTTTGTCATGACACTCCTGTGCTGCTTTCGTAGTTTCTGACTCTAATAACAGTTCTGTGACTCCTATGTTCCTTGTTAATACAATAAAAGAACCTGACATTTGTGTAGGACTCTTGCCCTGGTCTTGCTTCACCATGATTGATGAAATAGAATTTACCTGTAGCAAAATAGAATGAAACATCTAACATTTTTCAGTTAATAATTTTTTACATCTTTCAATCAATTTGCAGAACTGATTTTGATGATCACCAGGTGCCTAACTGAGGATGAGGATGACTATATTGAAATGTAAATGACCTTTTTTCTTATGAAAATCAAAATTCAAAGAGAACAAGCAACAGGTCTAAAGTCTGTGGTTCACACTTCTGAACTTTCTGTGGCATCTTAGAAGACTGTAAAGCTTGCTTAGAATTTTTTCTCTTGTAGGTTAAATGAGTCATGGTGAACTCTCTTCCATTACTTTACAGTGTGGGATGATAACGTGTGATTAACCTGTTAAATTGAACGGCTGTTTGGGGCTGTGGAACTTGTATCTTAAAGCAATGCTGAGACTGCTAAACTGCCATTAGCAATCACAATCAGTCTTCTTTATGGCTTTCTTCCAGTGTATCCTGTTGTACCAAAGGGACAAAGCACAGCATGAAACTGAGGCCAAATATCTCAAGATATTTTTCCATTTAAAAAAGTGAAAATAAAAATTGTGTAGTTCAGAGTGTGAATGTTTTTCACATGTTTTACAGGAGGTTTCAATTGGATATTAGGAAGAATTTCTTCTCTGAGAGAGTGGTTAGGCACTGGAATGGGCTGCCCAGAGAGATGGTGGAGTCATCATCCCTGGAGGTGTTAAAAAATCAAGTAGATGTAGCACTTGAGGCTATGATCTAGTGGTTAGGAAAATGTTGGGATGAAAGTTGGACTTGACGATCCTAGACGTCCTTTCCAACCATAGTGATTCTATTCTATTTTATAGGGCAACCCTGTCTTTTCTATTTTTGTATTTTCTTTTGTAAAAGTAGAATATAGCTACAAACAACTTCAGCTTTCCTATTTATATGAATAGTTCACAGATGTACGTCTAAGTGTCCCTTCTGTCAAAACTGACGTCTCATGTTACCTATATACTGTCCTGTGTTTACCCAGCTGTTGATCTTGAGGTGATAGATCTTTCATGGTCTTTTACTTAACATTGAGGACCGTATCCTACCTTCTACTTTTTCACTCCATAACACATCTATCCATATGACCATTCAACTATAATTTCATAAATATTCGTTTAGCTTTTTGATGTGCTGCTGTGTATTTTTCTTGGACTTGATAGTTGCAGCTTTGGCCTCTCTTCACTGAGAATACTGTACAAAATATTGTTATTGAAGTGATTAGACACTAGATGTCATTATTATGTTTGCATGTCAATCTGTTCCTTTAAGTTGTAGTACCTGTAAGCTACTTGTTTTAACCTATCCAAACCTGTTGATTATTTCTGACTTCCTGCTTTGAGATGTCTGTCCTTGCCTGCATTCGTCCTTCAACACCAATCTTCATTGTTTGTTTGTTAATTTTCAGAGCAGCTCTTTCAGCTCTGTTTTCTATTATTTCTTATGGATGAAGAGATTTCCTATAGGTATCTCCAGAACTCATTATCCTCCCTTTAAAACCTTTTTCAGTATCTTTAAATCAATCTCTACCCAAAATTTAGCAGTGCTTTGTGTTGAGATGGGTGCCCGTTACAATGACTAATTTCAGTTCCTTTCTCCGTGAATCCATATATTTCTTGTCTTATATTGCAATGTCTCTTGGTAGAAATAAATTTTATTCTCTTTACTGTGCAGCACGTAGCACAATGAATTCCTTGTCCATGACTGTAGATCTCAAGTGCTGTAGTAATTTTCACCTTCTTACACTGAATATTATTCTTCATTATTTGATACAACCATCTCAAAATGTGTACAAGTTGCTTGTAAAATTCACAGTTGTAGATTTTGTATAATGCAGTCATTTTAACAATAGATTCGGAAATACTATACTTTTTTTTTTTGTAATAATTCAAAAATAAGACATTAGCAACATGTTTCTTCTCAATATCAGTGGTTCTCCTGAAAAGTTTCTTATGCACTATCTGTGATGTTAGCCTTAGTTCCATAAAATTGTCCTAGGGACCTTTTTACCATGTTGCCTCTGATAGATGGTTAGTTTAGTTGTATGCTGAGTCCCATCAAGATGTATGTGTTGAATAAAGAAGTCCAGGAAAATCTGGAAAGTGAATGGAGAAACACATCTCCAAATTAAAAAAAAAAAAAAAGAGGGTGGGGAAAGTAAAAAATAAAATCAATATGCCCTCTCCTTCCTGAAGAGGAACTGATCTGTCAACTTCTGCAGAATTATGTGGAGGAATGCAAGTTGATAATATTTAAGCCTAGGGCACAACATTATGCATTTGTTTAGTAGCTAAAACGATGGAGAGTGGATAAAGTAAACAGGTAGATATGAACTGGAATTGAAGTTTAAAAATAAAATAAATCTGTGGGTATTCCCATTGTGCCAAAACAAATTCCTGGCAACAGTGAAATACAAAGAAATATTTTTGACTTTCAATCCTCATTAAATACTGGAAGAGATGCAGAAAGATCCTCAAACTATAACAGCGTTTGTTAAGAGGTAAAGCTGTTGTCCTTATCCCTTGAGGAGAAAGAACTCTGGGAAACTAGCATGTTGCTTTTTTTTTTTTTTCCATTCATTTGAGCAGCAACAGGTAAGAGTAATAACAAACTCAGTCTTGCTTTGAGAGACAATTTAAAGGGTCAGGTTGTTACCTATTGTTTAAATTAAGTGTCTTCTAGTGAACAGTGTTTTGTGGAAGGAATCTTTCAATTCAGAAAGGTCTACAGAACATGTACTGAATTATGCCTCCAGTCAGTTGTCATTTCTGCTTCACAAAAATAGGTAGAAAGTTTAACTGGACAGGAAATGTTATTTTGTCTACAAAAGATTCATCCAATTTTATGCCTGCTTCTGTGAATCATACTTCTACTTTTCTGAACTGTGGAGATACTCGATTGTTTGACTGCTTATTTTGTTGATTTCAGTGGTGTTATGTAAGTCCTGCTTTATTGGCATGAGAAAGGAATGGGAGGACTGTTACAATCAACTGCTTTGTTTAGGTTAAAGAGCAACTTACGACAACAAAAATGTTACATAATAAGATTTTCATCTTTCTTCTGCACCAGAAAAAATTAGTCTTTTGAGTTCTAAGTAAAATACTGTTCCTAACCTAGTGGCTTTGAGTGAAACTGAGAACTTTAGGAGTTATGAAGGAAGGAACAAAAGCTATTAAGCTGTGAGTATGCAGTATATGAAAGAGTAATATCTTTTTTTGTGAACTTAAGGATTGTTTTGGCCTTTTGAGACATTGTTTTAGAAATCCTGCTGCATTGTTAACACATTTACCCTGAAACAGCTGCAAGGACTTTCAGTAGTTTGCAATGTTTTTTTCTTAATGTAACTGGAGAAAACCTTTCCTATATGAGGCACTGTTTCCCTCCAATTGGGAACATAACTGTAGTTTTAGTTTTAAAAGGAATTTGTGGCTTAAGAACTCTAACAAATCCTGGCATGCTTTGAAGTTCATTGTAATTTTACTGTGTATAGAAATCTTTCCAAGGAAAAAGCTCCACAAAGCAAAAAATCCTATTCTGCCTTTCTCATGTGACTTGTTCATGCCTTATATAAAATGACTTAATATCTAGCTTCATGCTCTTCTGTTATTTTTCGTTGCTTAGTTCTCTAAATGCTGTTACTTGAGAGAATTGTTTTGCCGATTTGTGATTCCAGTACAAATAAACTGTGACTTGGAAAATTATCAACAGGAAGTTATCAAAAGTTTTCTGTATGCCCACTATAATTGTTTGCAGAAAATTCATAGTGATAGAATTATCCTCCTCAGGTAGTGGTCTTATCTAAGTGGAATATAAATATGGAGAACACTAAGCTGAATAGTGATTTCAGTATGTATGGAATATGCTAAAAATGAGTATCTGGAGAAAAGAGAGGGAGGGGAGAAAAAGATTTTGTTCAGAACCAAATCTGAAGAAAATCAGATATTAGGGTCAGTTGATAAACCATACTTGTGTAGAAAATACCATTTTTGTCTGTTCAAGACCCCTAAACTACTTTCCTAGGATCCATAGCTGTTAGGTTTGAGTATTTTTGAAACCGAATAATGAGGTGATTTAAGGCAAAATGTTCTCAAAACAGTAGAAGGTTAATTTGGGACAGCAACAGCCTGGTCTAGTGTCATGCTAAAAATTTTTGATAGTTTCAGTACAATAAGAGCTTGCTCTTACCTGAGCTGCTCAGAACATTTTTCATGTTTGAATACCATGAAGCCTTGGTTTGGCAATGATATTTACCATTTATTGTTTTGTTACTATTCCCTTTGCAATCTCTTCCCTTTTTCAACTTTCTCTTTCAACATACCTTTTAATTTTTTTTTTTTCTAAAAGGATGAGGGTAAGGGTGGAGAAAATACATTTTTCTCTTTTTATCTCTTTTGCTCTTCCAAATAGTACTGTTTGTCTAGAAAATAAAAACATGTGTTTGTTGTTACTGATGTAGGTTTTCAAATTCTATTATGCCATTCCAGTGTATAAAAACCAAATCTCAGTGTTCTTAGTGACTAAATATTGTCAGTGCTGTCTGTATGCAGATGCTGGAAGGGGATCTGGAATAGATTATCAACTAACTTTTAGAAATAAATAGAGCATGCACCATTAATATTTTATATAAAAAGTGAAGGTTTTATATTGGCATCTCAAACAATTGATAAACTTCTCTAGATACAGAAGTCAAAGTGGGAAACAGTCCTTCTTTATCCACTCATTAGGACTACTAACTGACATACATGTACTGGAGTCTTAAATTCTATCATAGTTCCTTCCAGCTGAACAGTGAAAACAGTGAACCCCTTTTTCTGAAATGCATCAGAATTTCTTTCTTTGTATAGGCATAACAACATTGCACTTGTTTGTGAAGAGGAGAGAGGATAGTAAGTCTGAGTTCATTGAAACTTATTTGTGTGAAACTAATTGATTAGCAAATTGAGCTCCTAGCATCTCTTGCTGTTTCAGAGCTGTGGGTCATTGGGGTGGTGCCCTCAAAACAGTGGATTTCAGGGAATTTAATGTAAAAATTCCAATTTGAGAGCCATTTCAAACTGTTTACAGCCTTCATTGTGTGCTTCTTAAGTTGTCTTTTTCTTTAAAAACATTTCAGTGAAGCTCTACTTTTTAATTCAGTGCTAGACTTGTGCTCTTTTGTTCTGCTTTCAGGCCATTAAAATTTACTTACTGCTACCTCACTCAATGTAATATAGTTGTTTTTACTAGTGAATATATATTCCTAGACTAGTTGGTAAGTTTGACTGCTTCAGCAAATATTTTCTTGCACTCTTGATATAACCTCTAGATTATTACTAACATCAGCTAAAACAGTCATATTTGGTAGAGTGTTGTATAATGTTGGGAAATTACTAAATGGTATGTGATGCAATATAGAGTGAAGTTTTGAGGCATATTTCAAGCTTCAGTGAAGTTGAAATAGACAGATGATTTTATGCTTTTTTTTTGTGAGTTTTTCAGTATATGAGCTTGATTTCCTTTGACTCCACATACTCTTAATCCCTGTGAATTGAATTAGTGAAGTGTTGGCTGGGGTTGCTAAAAAGAAACCCTGATGTCCCCCCTAAAAAAGGAGATATTGTTGGTTATATAACAGTAACTATCTGGCTTGCTCAAGTTTGATGTTCTTTGTGCTGTGTTTATTATAGCTTCATCAACTCTGCACAAATTGTGCTTTATTTACCTCTTAAAATAGCAATATGTGATAGCACTCTGTGCAAGCTATTGTTGCATATTTTTTGATGCTGAACAATAAGAATTGGTGAATTTTAAAGGATTAAATTGAAATGTTTAAGAAACATCGTAAAACCAGGAAAATATAAACCACTTATTCTGAATATTGTAGGTGTGCAATAGGATATTGTTTACATTTAAACTAGATTGGAGTTGCATTTTTAATTATTTCAAATTCTTAAGTTTATTCTGGGTACAGTTGCTCTATCTTTCAAAACACTTTCTGAAAACAGTATAAAGTTAATGACATATACTTAATGACTTGGTGATCTAAGGCATCAACTTGAAGCACACAAAAGCTTGACATACCTTTGTATATAGGCTTACCTTATAGTAAATGTTTTAATTACACAGTAGATTAACACTTTAATATTATTAGGATTGCTGAAAGTCAGCCTTACTATTTCTCCCTGTTAAATCTGCTTTTCTCCAGCTGTTATCTGGCACAGAGGAATTGCTGTTTGGGAGTGATGGACAAGTGGGAAAATTTGGTCTTTTTAACTCTTCAGGGCAATACTGAGTTTAAAGTAAAACTATGTTTGTACAGACATATTAATTTTTTTCTTAAAAAGACTAGGTGTGTTCTCCTGGCCAGCTGCAGTATCATGAAGAAATACTTAGGTTGCATCTCAATGGTAAAAAGCTAGAGTCTGTTAGCTTACAAGCATAGAAACAGAATGTGATGACTGTGGCATAAATTGTGACTGAATTTTGTAGATGAAGGCCCCTGTGAAAGGAGGTTTCTGGGATCATATTTTATTTCTTTCTGTCTAAATGTGAGATTTTTGAGTTGTAAGAAAACTATAGAGGTCAAATTTGAACTGTAAGATTTAAACGTGCTTGCGTTAAGAAAAATAGACTTACATAATACAAACTTTTTAATCAGAAAAGTGGCTGTAAACTTGTTACTTGACAAGTCATTCCTGTTACCTATATATAGAGAGTAACATTTCTTTTGTGACAGTGTTTCTTGCTTTTTCCTGATGTTTGTGCTGTAGCACCTATTCAGCTCAAATTTATTGAATTCCCCTGTGGTGGTGTAATAGAATTATTAGGTAAAATCTTAATATATTATAATTGTCTGCTCTTTGCTATACCTTTCAACGTATTTTGTATAATCCAGTAGACTTTCAGATAAAAGTGAGGATAGAATTTGTCTTGCAGAATCTATAGCATTTGTGATAAACTGGCCAGGAAGTACATTTGGCCCTGAAATTCCAAGCTGATGTGTAGCTGTAGCTTAAGTGAACACTGAGGAAGTTTGATGTGTAGCCATTGAGCCCATTAAATATGGATATGTTGAATATAATAAAAAAGTATTTAATTTTTTTGTAATTGAGCTGGGTATTTTGATTTACCTGTACTATGAGACTAGATTCCCTGCTTCCAAGACTAGAAGGTGAAGATGAGCATGCAGAACCAGATACAAGAGTGTTGTTCAGTCCTGTAGATTTCTGGCAGCTTATGCTACATGGGTCTGTTTTGACAAATGTGGAATTAGACATGGGCATTTAACAAGGAAATGGCTTTATTTTCTGAGTAAATGGGAAATCTGAGTTTTGCCCGATATCCAAAATAATACTTTATATTCCAGTTTTAGGTATATTGAAGTTTAGTTTATATTATGTGTCATTCCTCTTCAGTGTTGCTGTTGTGCCTTCCTCTGTATAAAAATTGGTTAGGTGGTGAGACTCATCCTATACTTGGCATTTATGCACTGACATCTCAAAGACGATGACCGGTAGAAGTATGGTAATTGACTGTAGCAACTATGACAGCTACTCAGGATGGTAGAATCTGCAGTCTGTCAAAATAGGTGGCTAACTTTGACAGAAAATCTTAGATTGAAGCTCTAAAAGTTAATGTACAACTTTCCAAAAGAGGTGAAAACATTTTAGACTTCATTAGACTAATTTACTGGTATTCTTGGAAACATTTACATATTGTAAATGAATACTTCATAAATATTTTTTATATGAGCATACAAATTTATTTGCTGCTTTACACAACCTAAAACTTTTCAAGAGAGAAGAGTGGGGAAACATTATTTTACTAGTCTTGCAGGTTATATATTTTGCTTTTATAAATAATTAAAGCTAATACCAGATTGCTATTTGCAGGTGAAGCAACCTTCAATGAAATCTCAGTTTGCATGTACATATAAAAATGAGTTGAGTAACAGCAGTAACAAAATTCCAACCAGCGTAGATTCTGCATCGAAGCAGCATTTAAAAGCTGGATGTCTCACAGGTAAGGTGTAGCAGGATTGAATAAGCAAATGTGATAGCTATATTGCAAATGTTATCAAACAAGGCTTTAGTAAAATTCAAGTATAAATATGTTTTCAAGAAAAAAATAGACATATCTCATTGCTCTGTGTAAACCATGATGAATTCAATGTCTTTGCATTGAAATTGGAATGTTAATACTTTGAAACTATAAATCTGTTTGAAACATATGTATTGATGCTGTCTTGAGGTAAGAAATTGATACATTTATTGTACATTAGCTAATGCTGCTTCTTGTTTTACAGAAGTAAGCTAACTGAAATTCCTGTTTTTGCCATTAAAAAAGGGAAAATATTTTACTCCACTATAAACCATATCATATATATAATTTCTAGACCCTTCAAGCATATTTTCCAATATTTTAAATTTATAAATCCCCTTTCTTGAGTTAGTTGTTATTAAATGATTTTGAGTGATGTAATTTTAAATTGGCAGTACATTTATGTATTACGTGTTAATATAACTGCAATGGCCAATATAGTTTTGTTTTACTGATAAAGCACTAGTTTTGATTTAAAAAAAAAAAAAAAAAAATCACATGACAGTCCTCCGATAGAACAAGGATGAATTATCCCAGGTAACTTTTTATTTCTTCACATATGTTTTTGATATTCTTACATGACAGAAGGTATGAATTCATGTCTTGATGTACCAGTGCTTGGAACTATTTCTGAAAATGTTCACCAGACTAGAAGTTATACAGAAACGGGAAAGCTGAGTTGTCAGCCAAGAAAGAAGAACTCTGAGAATGAACAGATGGATTTGAATAATGACAAAGTAATCTGTGATAAGGAAAGTGAACCATCTTTGCAAAAACATTCTAAGAGACCTAAGACTTCAAACAACCCTCAGAAGGAACTGGACAGCAAAATTGGTGGAAAAAGAACACACAGCAAAACTGCAAGCAAGAATAAGTTGATTGCTGGTCAGGCAAAACTAACTCAATTTTTTCGACTTTAAGATTTTGTTTTTATATACATGGTATGTTGACAGGTTCAGAAATTGTAAAAATTTGCAAGAAAAAGATGAAATTCATTGATTGCTTCCTTTCATACTCAATTGAAAGTAGCTTGTATGTAATATTAGACAAGTACAAATATGGATTATGCTGAAGTCTTTTATTTTTTATGATAGTATATGATAAGCAATTACAGATATGTTCTTTTCTGGTAATGAATTGTATTTCCCTCTACAATGTGACAGGAAAGTATTTTTGGATACACATGTATAGCCACACTAAAACACAGTAACTTCAAATTATATCAAATCCATAATAAAATGTTTAATCTTCAAAGAAGGTGATGTAGATTGGTGGTTTTCAGACTTGCCAACAAGGTCGATAGACTCGTCCCAGCATGCACCTGAGCACTACAGGCAAAAAAAAAATCAGAAAGTTTAAACCATCAAAGAACTAGAATTCTTTATGCCTTCTGGAAATTTTAATTTAACAGATTGAACATATATACTTCCTTCCTTGTGCACTGAATCACAACAAACAGGTAATTTCTAAGTGTACCTTTATCAAATTGCCATATAGACATTGCATTATACTTTACCGGAACAAAATAATTTTTATGTAAAAAATTAAAATATGCTTACTGTCAAAATCTCTTCTTCCTATAGGGAATTTAGCTGAATTTTCTTCACCTGAAGTCTCTCTTTCCTGTATTGATTCAATGTTTTGAATTTCAGTGCCAGCTGGAAAAACCATGGCTCCCTTCAGTGCAAGATAAGGTGGCTGATTTCCACCAAAGCTGATTGGCATAACATGATTTAAGAAATCCTGTCTGGAACCTGTGTCCTGTTTTAAGGGAAAACAAGCGTAACAGTTTAAAGTCAGTTATGTTCACTTTTTATACTTGACTTTTTCTCCTTTATACTTTGTAAAAGTATTTTATATTTCAAGATCTTTTAAAAGTAATGACCTGCATTACACCTTTGGGTGAAATGGTTTTATGGTGAAGAAGATGGTTAAAAAAAATTTCTATTTGGTAAATTTAAAACCCTGGTACTGCACACAGGGACATGCTTAATCAAACATAATTGCAAGCTTTTTTCCACCACAAGTTTTGGATACATATAGTTCAAATTTAATTTGTTCAACTGTTCAAGTTACACATTTAAAATCTTGCAATTAGGTACTTGCTGTTAAAAATTTACTGTTCACTATAGCATGGTGAACTTATAGTTTTGTATATTCACCATGTTATTGCTTTAAGTTATTGTACTTGTTTTCTAAAGCTCTATGAAGAAAATTTCCATTTTACAATTAAGCCAAAAACTAAAATTGGAAACTCACTAAAAACTTCATGTTTCTGTTATCCTCTTCATCCAAAACACTGCTGTCTTCAGTCTTATAATGCTTCAGCAAAGGTATAGCTCTTCTGTTTGAAGCTTGATCTCCATTTTGAAGATATTTTCCTAGATTAAATGCGGTTAGCAACTTATCTTCATCTTCTGCCTTTTGCAGAGATTTTGAAACTGAGAGTAGAAAACCTTGAGAAAAAAGAGAGAGAGAGAGAATTAGCATGTATGATGTGATACACATTCTTGGTTACTTAACGTTTGCATAGAAGTTAAGCAGTTGTCAAAATTTAAGACAGCTTTTCCAGTTGTAAATTAATGCATTCTCTCTCTGTGCCCACTTTATATATTTTACAGATTGAATGGAAACTACTTCAGTGGCTGATGAGTTCACTCTCTTAAAATGACTCATATTAAGGAGTAACCTTCTCTATAATCCTTCTAATCCCCTCTGTTATTTAGAACTACTTAGACATTTCTTTAGCATAGATAATTTGTTTCCTTGTATGTTTTTAGAACAACACAGATTAGTTCCCTTTGATGGATCCATATAACAAAGTTCACAGAAAGTGATGCCCATTTGTGTTGTTTATAAAACCTTACTTTCAGTTAAGGCAATTTAAGAAAAGGCTTAATCTACTGAAGTAAGCAGGGCTGTTGTAAAAGTGGCATCTATCATAATTTCTGATGAAAAGTGGTCCACTAAAGACATGCAAAGCTTGAAGTTTAACAATAGCTTAGACTGCTGCTGTGTTAGAGCTGAAATCATTAATTTGTATTTCCATGTGCACTATGTCATGTTAAATTATTCAGAGCTTTTGCCTGAAAATATTAATTCCTAAGTAATTATATTTCTCTACATTTTCATTCTGAAAATGGAACTTTCCCAACTACAAATAGCATATAGTCAGATATACCTGCTCAGAATGTTGAAAAAAAAGAAAACTTCAGCTTTTATTTTAAAAAGTCTTTGACATCTACCTGTTACCATGCGGAAGGAAACGTAGGAGATTCTGCCTGTTTTTCCTTACCTTGAAAACAAATGGGACTGGCTCAGATTTAATCTCTTGTTGTCAGTGATACAAATCACCTATTCAGTGACTATGTGCCTCTTAGCTGGTACTTATCTCTTAAATTCATATTTGTTCTACCCTTTAGGTTAGTGCACACATCCTGCTAGTCAAGGCAAACCACTAGGAGACTGGACAAGAAACAAAGCAGAAAGAGTACAAATACTCCCTTGTTTTCCCCCCTCACTCTCCATTTTGCTTTGCATGCTTTTTCTTCTGTACCATCGTGCACTAAGAAATGTAACTTTTTATTAGCAAAAGTTATTTTTTACAGTTGTTTCCTTTTTTTATTTCTAACTGATTTTCTAATGGTCTTCCCTAATACCTACCACTGATGTGGTGTGAAGGAGAAGGTAAAATTTGATTTTTAATAGTCTAGACAAGTCTACAACACATCAATGGTAGTCACAGATAGCAAGCATATATTTCATCTTTATACCTGTTACAAGAAGCTCATGGATAGAACATGAGTGCTGCTGAGAGGTGTTGCATACTCTTAGGGAAGTAT